CACCCTTCTCTCCCAACCCTGAGGCACCTTTCTCTTTAGGACCACCTGAATAACCTCACTCCTGGCTTATTTCCACTGCCTTTTTAGTCATTCTTCTGCCCATTGCAATAATGTTCTTTCTGAAACTCAAATCTAATCATGCTGTGTTCCTGCAGTACTTGGCTACTGCAACCAGGTAAAGTAGGCTGCTTTACCACTCTATCCTGAAAGATTTGAGGTGGTCCATTCCCCTTCCTCTCAAGCCTTATCTTGTGCCAGTCACTAATTGCATCATTTTCTCTATTTTTCTGCTGCAGAACCCTCTCCCAAACTCATCTTCAGAATTTGTTAATTAATTAATTAGTTAATTCATTCATTAATTAAATTTTTGTTACTGGGGATCAAATGTAGGGTCTGGTATCTTGCTAGGCAAGCACTCTGTCACTGAACTATGTTCCCAAGTCACTGGAGCTTGTCCTAAGCAGCCCTCTCCTGGAGGAATCCTTCCCTCTTTCCTCTTTTGCTTCTGCAGCCCTGAGCATGGCTTCTTTCCATCCATTGCTGCTTTGCAAACTGTGCGTCCCCAGTGTTTATCATGATGGCTAGCATATAGTAAAATGTTCATCAGGTATTTGCTAGATACACAAATTAACAGCAATATTAAATGAACATGAATCATATTTTTTGATCCAGTGTTTGCTGCGTAATAAAATGAACAGTAGAAAAAAGGAAAAGAAACTGCCTTTCATGGATGGAGCCTATTGCACAAGCCAGGCACTTGACACACATTGTCAAGATGGAAATAATGAATTGTCACAGATAGTTTTCCTTCCTTTTATAACTCCTTAAAGGGCATTTAAATGTGTATTTCATGCAAATAATATGGGCAGCTAGATTATTTTCAGTGACTTAATTGATTTGAAATAATGTCTCAGAGATACTTTCCTATTTTTCCATTAACATATTTTAGCAATTTTCAGCTTGCTTGGCTAGGCGTTTGATTAACAGAAGGAAAAAAAGAATTGGATTAGATGTAATTAACACCTGGAATTTGATCGCCTTATTAATCTCTAACGTAATTTTAAGAGCATTAAATGTACGTATAGCCTCGACATGACTGCTTAACTTTTGACTTTCTGTGAGACACAGACCTCTGTGTCTCAATAGTAAAAGGAGTGGGAAACACCTATCCTAATTTTAGTGATGGTGCCTTTCTGTAAGTGGCAGAGACACAAGTGAATTTCTACCAGGGGATAAGCAGATCATGGAGAGGATAATATCTACAGCTGCCCTTGTGAGTCTCCTAAAACTGTCTTCTCCTTTTCACATTAGCTCCATTTCCTTGAAATAAAGACTACCACAGTACCTAGTCCTCTCTAGCTCTCTGGGCCTGCTGTCTCAACAGGCTAGGTGGTTAATTGCATTGAATTTGAAATTTCTCTGAGATAGTACTGACTACATGGTGGTGGTGCTGGTGCTGCTGGTGGTGCTGGTGGTCATGGTGGTGGTCTGTGTGTAGGTCCTAGCTGAAGCTCTAGAATATATCTCTAGGGTCATACTGTGACCCTTTAGGTTCAGGCAGACATGCTGCCCAAGCAGAGGCTGCTGTCAGTACACATCAGCCAGCAGAAGCCCAGGACTTGTGTCAAGGGGCAGTAAAGATCCGTTCATACCGTCCCCTCAATATACTGAATCCTGTATGTTTTCAAGGGATGTAGAAAGATACCTCAGAGTTTTATGTGCAATTCTTAAGTTTTTAATTATTGGTAACTAATATTTTCTGTTTTTGAAATTTTCTATGGGCAATACAAAATTTGTGGGTTGAATTGTATCACTGTCCACTAGTTTGTAAGCTCTGGTCAAAGCATTTTTGTCAGCTCTCCAGGTCCACACAGCATGTGTCTGCTTTGACTACCCAGTGACAGTACTTGCTGTTGTTTCAAGTATCTTGTATATTTGTGAAATAATGGGAACCACCAAAGTTAGACCAAGAAGAGATTAACAGTTTAAAAAAACCTATAACGTATAAGGAGATTGAAACTGTAATACAAAGCCTCCCAACTAAAAAAAGCTCAGGCCCAGATAGATTTACAGCAGATTCTACCAGACATTTAAAGAAGACCTCCAACCAATACTACTTAAATTATTCAAAATGATAGAAACAGAGGGAAAAGTCCCAAATTCCTTCACTCTAATACCCAAACCAGGTAAAGACACAACCAAAAAACAAAACAAAACAAAACAAAACAAAAAACTATAGACCCATATCCTTAATGAAAATAGATGCAAAAATTCTCAACAAAATTGCAAACCACATACAGACACACATTAAAAAGTTTGTTCACTGTGATCAAGTAGGCTTTATCCCAGAGATGCAGGGATGGTTTAGTATACACAAGTCAATAAACGTCATTAATCATATAAATGGACTCATAGACAAAAACCACATTGTCATCTTAATAGATACAGAAAAGACTTTTGACAAAATTCAGCATGCATTTATGTTCAAAGTCCTAGAGGGAATTGGACTGGAGGGAACATACCCCAACATAATTAAAGCTATATACAACAAACCCACAGCCAACATCATTCTAAATGGAGAAAAACTGGAAGCATTCCCATGAAAATCAGGAACCAGACAAGGATGTCTGCTATTTCCACTCCTTTTCAACATAGTGCTTGAAACTCTTGCTAGAGCAATAAGACAGGAGATGGAACTTAAAGGAGTACTAATTGGAAAAAAATAGGTCAAATTATCACTTTTTGAAGATGATATGATACTATACCTAAGAGCTCCCCAAAGTTCCACCAGAAAACTCCTAGAACTGATCACTACTTTTAGGATAGTGGTAGGTTATAAAATCAATCTACAAAAACCAGAAGCCTTTCTATATACCAATAACAAGCAATTGGAGAAAGAATACAGGGAAATGCTCCCATTCACAATTGCTGCAAAAAATATAAAATATCTTGGGATAAATCTGACCAAAGACATTAAAGATCTCTACAATGAAAATTTTAAGTCTTTAAAGAAAGAGATTGAGGAAGACATCAGAAAAAGGAAGGACCTCCCATGCACATGGATTTGAAGAATTAATATTGTGAAAATGAACAGCCTACCAAAAGCCATTTATAGATTCAATGCAATGAC